TGGTGGAGGTTGTCTTGACATATATATTCTAATGTGCAAAAGAGAATAATGATGTTTATCGCGTATGCTAATTCTCACTGTGGTAAAATAAAATGGTGTCGGATGACTCTAGTAATGTTCGACAGCGAAATAGACGATATCGATATGTAAAGCAGAATTTTTCAAGTTACATCCGTCCCTCCATTCTTGAAAGCAATGCACTTTCGCTAGCCTGGCTTCACCCAGTTTTGATGGACGCGAAATCAGATTTTTAGATTTCAAGTTGGGCACTAAAACATGCGCCCCTTATTACAGGTGTCCTGACCCTAAATCCCAGGGGTAATATATCGAGCGGGAATAAGTGCATACGGAAGCACTGAAGCTCCGTAGGGAGTGACGCATACGAACAAGCTGCTAACTACCAATCCGAGTGAGAGAGTGCGAGAGAGTACTGCTGTAGTTTTTCGGGTTAATTCTTCCTTCATTCAGCCAATCATAAATCTGACCATCAACTGGGACCAAAAACACAAACATGCGCTCGTAAACGGCGCAGATGATCCACTGACTGGGTCTGACAGTTCGACCGTCGTACCGCGTGCTCGTGAATTAGTTTGCGGTAGACTTGTGCAACATCCACCGCACTCCTTCCTCCCATCTGAGCTCGGTGTTGAGACGTAGTCAAGAAGATCGGAGGTGAAGGAGGGCTGGCGTGGCTGGACCTGCACCTGGGCGTACCACAACACTCTCTGGTCCACAACAAACACTTGGACAGGATCGCAACCAACAACAGCGCCACAGCAAACCAGAAGAAGAATAAAGACTGGGTATCCATTCTCATGACCTGTAGACTCAGCTGCAGCGCAAGAACATCCACAGGCAGAGAACCAGACGCCAAAGAACTGCCAGCAGGCTGTGAGGTCCATGGTTTGCCGATCACGGCATAGTAGATGCTTACATACCTTGACGGGTTCTAGCAGATGAGTCACGAGCGCTTCACCGAACAGGATTTTATCATTTCCTCGTTAGCTGTCATTATTGGTCGCCACAGGTCGGGTATATAATCAATCAGGAATGAATATACGTCGATGTCTCGAAGCAAACAAGCTCCGAATGGGCGGCAAAGATCACAAAGGGTAGCCAACTACTAGGCAGGGGTCAGCCAAGTTATTATATCCGACGGAAAGAGGGTCACAGACAAGGCGTATGATTGTTTCTGGTTCCGACTGCTGGTCCGAGTTATTATTGATTGAACAAGGGCAGAATAATCTTGAAACAATACTGCACCAATCTACTCCCGTTCGTTGTCGTACCACCCTCCTCCGGTTATAGCCAGCGTTTGGTGTTATCGTCACGATTAGGGTTTTGACTAGCGTTGGGTTTACGAGGGTCAATGGAAGAGTTACAGTAAATTATCGGAAGACTAGGGTTGGGACTAAAGTTGGAGCACTCCCAGCGTGAGGCGACCCATGGCTCTAGGGCATCAATAATCCCGTGTCCGACTCCGATCTCTCAAAAATTAGTGGAAACCTTTATTGTTCTTTTAAAGCAAAATATGCACAAACAAACCGTCTTGGAGAGTGATCTCCACTAACATAAGAAAATAGATATTTCCGAACATTTCTGTTAAGGTTAACGGCGGGAATACAGTGTCGCAACACTTAGAATTGTCTATTCCCCCACCAGCCTGTCTTACGGGCGGACTACTACTACTACTACTACTACTACTACTACAACTACTACTACTACCACTACTACTACTACTGCTACTACTCCTACTACTAGAACTACTACTATAACTACTACTACTACTTCTATAACTACTACTACTACTACACTACCACCACTAATACTACTACTACTACTACCACCACCACCACTACTACTGCTACTACTACCACTACTACCGCTGTTACTACTACTACTACTACTACCACTGGCGGGAATACAGTGTCGCAACACTGAAGAAAACTTTTTCCCCCGTCTACCACCACTGATACGGCGAATAGTACTAATAATCCTACTATTACTACTACTACTACTACTACTACTACTACTACTACTACCACCGCCACCACGGCTCCCACTACTACTCTACCAACGCTTACAGTATGGGTAACTAATTGCAATAATACTAGCATCAGTAACGGAGTGTTGCGACACTGGTATCCAACCAGGTTTACTTTTGTGGTGGCGGTTAGGTCTAACGCTAGGTTTGAGGCATTGCTGCACCAGTGTCCTGTCAGCCAGGTCTTCTGCGAAAATTCTAGGCCTCCTTCACGTTCGTGACAACTTTGTCATATATCAGATTGCCTTTTCCGTTTCAGCCTCGGCTACTTTCCCCACTGACGGTTTCAGCATCCCACTTCGGCTTACTTCCCTTTTAGTGCTCAAATTATGCCTGCACTTGGGGCCAGAACAGCGTACTCGACCCCTGCCCCAAGTCTGCTATATGTTTTGAGTACAAACGAGTCTGTTTAAAGACCAGCTCCCTGTTTAATAACAAAGAATACACTAGTGACTATTTATTCATATGTCGCAAACACACATATTTTGAAGTTTACTTGGCCGCATTTTCCATAAAAGCTTTGTCTGACAGAAAAGGGGCCAATGAAACGATTAGCAGTTGGAAATAATATAGTGGGATGGATGCATAGACCCCTTAGCCGCCGCAAGTTACCTGTCATAGCTGGATGAATCAGGCGAAGCAAAGGACGATCCAGCGGTAGGGTGCGTCCCCAGAGAAATCATCCCCACTCAGAATTCTCCTATGTGGTCTGCTTTAGACACAACGGTCAGATTAACTGTGTAAATACAGTACCAACCAGTAGGTTGCAAGGTTGTTTCCTCAGAGGTTCACTTTGTCGGCAGGACACTGTCCGAAAGGTGAAAACACGCTTTTAAATGAAAATGGTGACTCAGAGATGAGGCTACAGAGCACAGAATAGCAGCAAACATCAGTCCTAGCCAATTGATGACTCTTTAGCAAACAGCCTTTAAGCAACACGTACACATTTCCCTGGGCAGAGGAGGAGGTAAGCACATCTTATTTAGCGCGCACTACGCATGGTGGCCATTAACTTTCGTTGGGCAGACAACTGAATTTGCATCTCGACTTCGGCAGTGAAATTGTAGCCGTTCCAAAAACGAGACATTTGAAGGTGTGCCCACCTTATTTACATGCTTGGTGGCAGCGTATGCAACAAAAACCGTGGACATAGAAAACTGTGTGAATGGTTGTAAACTGCGTGTAAACGGCGGTAATAGGGGTCTTTTGGGAGATGAGACGTTGAGTAATTAGGTCTATCGAAGGATTCGAGTTGTTATTGCCCTGAGTGCATGTTTCAATACAGTGATAACTAATACAGGAAGATAGCGGATGACACGGTTAGGTTTAGCGATAAGTCTGAGGTATTGATGCACCACGTGTCCTGCCAGCCAGGTCTTCTGCGGGAATTCCAGGCTTCCTGCAGTCTTGCGACAAATGCGTCATTCATCAGATTGCCTTTTCCGTTGCAGCCACGGCTACTTTCCCAACTGAACGATTTCAGCATCCTCCTTCGGATTACTTTACTTTCAATGCTTACATTTTGCTTACCCATAGGACCCGGACAGCGTAACCGACCCTTGCCCAAAATTCCAAGTTACGCTAATGAAATAAGATTGTATGCGTAGTCAGACTTCCCCGCAACAACAGCAGAATAACTTCGTATCAGTGCTAGTTACAAGGATTGGACGGGGACTTAACACCGACTCACAGTCCGATCAGAGCTGTTCGGCACATACTACTCAACCCTGATGCAGTCAAAAAGCACGACAGTTAGCGTTTTGATGTCTTTATGCTAAGCTCCTGGCTTCCTTGCAGAACTCCGGCATGCGACTGTAAGGCGCGCCAAATAACACCACCCGCCTCGTCGCAAGCAGTCGAAGAGGGACAGCTGCCCAAACGATAACCTCAAAAGCACCTCAGCCTTCCTAAAGGCTTTTGGGTATTTACAGAACCCCTTACTACATAGAAACGCATGCTGGTAGCCTACCATCAGACGTCATATTAAAATGCATGAGGCGTATATGACTGGCAGTCAGACTGGGGTCACTTCCATAGACCTTGAAGAACGCTAGGAAAGAAGGCCATTGAGATAAGTAACCAGTTAAAAGTAGGCGTGCGAAAGAGCGACAGACTTAATGTAGCCTTTCTGTAGACGCAGATCCTAGCCATGCCGCCTACTTAAACAAAATAAGTAACGGATTGTGATGCAATAAAATCAACTCGCGATTCGACAAGGTCCATAAATCATTACCGAGTGGGACCCTGTCCGGGTGCGGCGGCTCGGGCCGCGCCAGCCACCGGTGACCTCTCTCATCCCCCCCCCCCCGCTTCGACATCAGACCAAGGTAGGAGAGCAAAAAAGTGCGGCAGACGCTGCGCAAGTCTATCGCCACAAACTGATTCACGCGCAAGTCACCACCACCCCCGTCCTCACCCTGCTGCGGAGCACACGGTGGGCATAGTCGAACCGTCATCAAGAGGGCTTTTCATGGTAGATAAGTGGAAGACAAGAGCTCAAGCGACCTTCTTGCGCAACCGTCATTAACGTTCGGATGTGACGGAAGGCGGTTGAGGAAGTGCTTAGGGAACCTGTTGGCTCCAATAAATTCCGTTTTATATGGTCCTACCCAAAGGAATTCCCTTGCTACCACCCTTGCTTACTGCCACTTGCTTTCACTTTTGCTTATTGCCTTTCCCAGTCTGTTGCTTGATTCCTCCATCTCCCTGTCTGCAACTTTTGCCCTAACAGTCCGGCGGATTCAATAAAATCCTTACTTCCGCGCAGCGTAAAAAACATTAAGAAGACATTTTCCGGAATGATTGTCTTGAGCAAAATAGCATGGAAGGTGTCTGAGGACGTCCAATAGGAAAATGATGGGGTAAATCTGAAGAAAATAGGCAGAATGGGAGGAGGAATGCTGGAAAAAAATTGTACCCAAAATCATGGTAAAAAAAGTTAGTGACAAAGTGCCTCTTATCGATCAGCAAACACGTAGCTCTCACGTCGGAGAAGCCAGTTTTTGATTGGACAGTCAGGAACACCACCATAGGCACCCGTGCCAGTAAGAGAGGTCGAATTGCTGGCCTTTTTTGCGAACACTGGCACCACTCGATGACAGGGAACCAACAGCATTACTTCATTTCTCCTGAGAGCGCTGCCCACAGCGACTGGAGCAACTCTTCTTGGTGGCCGCCCATCGCAGACGGCATTCTCCATCGCCTGAGCAAGCCGTCCGTAGGAAATTTGCTTGCCTAGCCCACAACACTGTACCAAGGTTGTATACACCAGACGTTGGAAGGGAGAAACTGAAAGGTGTAAAAGAGTTGCCGGATTAAAAAGTAACGCGACAATCTCACACTGGGAGATCGCAAAATTGCTGGGTCCTATGAGGAATCTCGGGTAGGCTTCAGAGCCCCAAATACGGCTTAATTTTCGGTCACATAAAAATCACGTCAATGAGTAAATGGAATAATAAAAAACGAAAGGCCGAAGGGCGTGGTGTTTCCCTAGTCTATTTATAATCGTGTAAAAGTAAGTGTGTTGTCAGACGCATCAAGCCCCCAGACGAATACTTCGAAGAATATTTCCTTAAAAAAACACGGACCTTCTGAATCCTCGTGGTCCAAAGAACAGATTGGCGGCCTTAGTGCTGCTAGTCTTGCGTCAACATCGAATGCGTCCAGTTTATTGCGTGATAACAAACCTGAAATAAGGAAAAAAACTCTGAGATATTTCATACCTTAAACATGGAAAGCGAAAGGGGACCTACCTCAGAACTAGAAGGCATTCGAACAGTACTCGGAAGACTAGATGGCTAGCATTAATTTGCTTTCGATAGGTTTTCGTCAGACCCGTGCATTTATATGGGGACGGCATCAAACCAAACATGGCAGTGATTAGGAAAGTTGACCAAAGTTAGTAAAAGAGCACAGGCCGGGTGTGGACGGCAAGAGTCTGAGATGGCAACTTATCCTTGCCATCTCTGCGTAAGAGAGCCAGTGGAGAATAATATTCGAATCCTTTTTGCTGGGAAATTTCGTGAGACTGCTTGACCAGAGCGTCTCCATGAAAAAAGACTTTGAGGAACGCAGTTTTAATATCAGCAGTCAGTGTGGTGGGTTTTTCCGGTCGCTCGACAAAACTCTTCACAATAAACCTGTCAGGAGACCCGTTTTTGTGAATCAAATCCTGGATTTTGCTAAGTTCCTCCTCGATGCTGTCTGTCGAGCCGATTTTTCTAGACCTCTGCACCAAACACCGGACAAGATTTTTCTTTTGTTTAAGGGGTACCAAACTGCCGAAATTCGTGTATGGTCCAGACCAGGCTTTCTTCAGATAGAAGCTCCTTCGGACGCTACCGTCAGGTCTCCTGTTTGAAAAGGATACGTACCAGCCACTTTCGTTTCTCATGTAAACCTGGTCTATGAATGTGCCCGATTCACGGGCTATACGGGTGTTACAGTATTTGCAGGACGCAGTTGCTATGCCACCACATGCCTGTAGAAATTGGCAGCTGTGCATTCATCAGAGGTGGCCGCACGTGGTTCGATTGCCGAAAAGCTACGTCGATTTCTACAGTAACAAGTGCAAAGATGTCATCGAAGAAGCGATCGTAAGGCGTAGGCTTGCTGATCTGATCGTTTAGTTGAAATTTCTCCAGCTTATCCATGAAGACGTCTGCCAAGAGGGGTCCAAGAGGCGAACCCAGGGCAACGACGTCTATTTGTCCATGGATTAGGTTGTCAAAAAGGAACTGCAAATTCAATGTGCATCTTAGAAATAATTCCTTGGGGGTGTACGTCAAAATCCTATTTCCTGTTATTTTATAGGAATTCGCAGATGTCACTAACTGTTTCGGTGACCGGGGCGTTGGTAAAAAGTGATGAGACATCTAGTGAGAACATTACCAAACCGTTAAGACCACGACCTTCGATGTTGTCAATGAATTCGAAGGTGTTCTGATAGCTGCGTGGTGCTGACTGTCGTTATACGGGCTTGAATCTCTCTGGTAACTATTTCGCTATCGCATGATACCGAGAGTCCAGTATGTCCAGAATCGGAGGAACTGGCAAACCGTCCCTATGAATCTTAGGTAAACCATACAGTCCAGAAATGTGTGCCGATAGGTCGGAGGTGATCTAGGTCACGGTCAGATTTTGAAGCCCCTTGTATGGAGCCTTCGTAGGCAGTCGACATCTGTTTTATCCGTGCGATATTCTTTAAGTTTAATGTTCTTTTAATGTCCCATTAACTCGATCTCTGTGGGAAAGAAGGAGATGCGATCTATGGGACAAGAGGTATATTCGCCTGTCAGTTCAGATTGACACTCGAATCCATTCTCAGAGATAGAAGCATATAAGTTTTGTGAGCTATACGGGTGTTACAGTATTTGCAGGACGCAGTTGCTATGCCACCACATGCCTGTAGAAATTGGCAGCTGTGCATTCATCAGAGGTGGCCGCACGTGGTTCGATTGCCGAAATTTCATCACTTGTGCGGTTTCTTAGACAACTTGGCCGGCCAAAACTGGCAACGGAAACAGTGATGGGTTTAGCAATGAGGTAATTACCTGATCAACACACACGAGCCATTAATGGCTGTGATATTGCCAACGTTGTTGGCTAACTTAGTAACTACTAGGCAACCTGGCCCATCAATACTTTTACCGCAAACACTGTTCACTTGCGAGGCCCTGTGCGAGTGGAACTTATCGGAAGACGTCAACAAACTCATCGCGTTAGTCAGGACTGCACACTAGACAGGGGTAACAATCCGGAATCAATTGCCATACGAAGAAAAGTATGGAGGCGTTTGCTGGAGCTCATAGGCTTTCGTGCGAAGCAGATACAAGGGAGATGCAGGGGCACTGATCGGACGACGCAGAGACAGCGAAAAGTGATGACACCAAATCTTGCGTCACTCAGTGCTTACTTCTCCTAGTCCGACGAGCCTGAAATCCTAACGAGGTGGGAATAGTGGTAGGTGCAGGGTCTTTGAATTGTGAACGAGAGTCCAAAAGCAAACGCGACATCGCCTCAACCCTGTACATCAAT